CAAAATTACCTGAAGAAAATTATACCAAGTGTACCATTTTTTACGTTACATTTTGAAATATTAAAACCGACAAAATACTTTAAATTCAAATGGAATACCCTGTATTTTTTGCACCATGTTATAAAAAATCGCCTATGCTGGCGATAATCAAATTCTCTTTTCGCTAATATAGGCATTGTAGGGGTTACATTTCAATTTTCTGAGATATTTGCGGTTTTCTTCTATTCTCAAGAATATTAGGTCCATTAAAAATATCATCAAATGTACCTTGAAAGACAAATATTGGTGCTGTCATTCAGTATTCTACAAGTATCAAGTATTTTGATTTGGTATTTTGCAACTGAAACAGAACAATTAATAAAATTAATTTGATTGATTTTCTGTTATTTTTAAAGTTTGATAGTTTTTAAATAATAGCAAACATAAATAATTTCAGACAACTAATAAAAGCATTATTATATAATTTTATGATCTTCGGAATGAAGTTGAAAGGAGAAAGAATATAATTTAAAATTTTGGTTACTTTACATATCATTATTTTCTTAATGAAAGGATACTTGTTTGCTCTTTATTATACTTACAGTTACTAATAATAGTATCCCATTGGAAGGAAATCTTATTATTTTTTTTGTAAGTACCACATCTTTCCTCATTATTTAAAAGATGCAACCAACTTGAAACCAGGCGTTTTATTAATGTAATAATTATGAAAAAAAAAATAATAATTATTATGAAAAGAAATAAAAAATACCAAATAAACGCAGTTCATAACTCTGATTCATGGTAATTGTACCATGGATAAAAAATAAATTCAAAATATCTTCATTAGAATAATAATTTTGCATTTTTCTTCTAAACTACAATGGCTATATCGCTGAAAAGAGAATTTGATTTTTTCATTTAAAATAACGAAGTTGACAGCTACTTCCGTAAAACCGGAAGAGCTATGTTGACGGCATTATCATCGAACACAACATATCTGATAACCCCTGTAAACAAAATTTCAGAGTCAAATTACCTTGGTTTCTCCGAAATGTTTAATAGGTGAAGCACCCTGTATATTCATACGTCAGAGTTGTTATAAAATGGCTAGCGAAAAATTGTTCCAGTTATTAAAGTACTGTTTTTTCCAATAGTCTAGATATTGATATTATCAATGTTTTCTTTTTGGAATGATAGGTATTTGTTATCATCACTCATTACAAACCTCAGACAATATTTAGGATTTGAACAATACTCTGTAAATTAGAGTCTAGAATCTAGATACTAGTCCAAATTATGAGTAAAATATCTACAAAGACTTTAATCTACCATAGTCCTTAATCTTCCTTATTTCGTTAGTTTTCGGAAAGCAAAGTGTATAAAAAAGTACCCTTACTTGTTTATATACCACACGTCCTACAAATTTCAGGGGAAAATTTAATATAACTTTACATTCGTCATAAAGAGATTGTGAAATAAATACCTGTTTTTTAGCTACAAACCTTTAAAAATCTCACAATTTCTGTGTATTTTTCAGGATCAGCAAGACCCCCAAAAACCAACAAAAGCCAATATAATTGACTGGCAACTGGCGGAAAGGGGATCACCAGTTTTGGACTTGGCGTATTTCCTCTTCACTTGTGGCTCTACGGAAGTTATCATAAATTACCCAACGCATCTAAAAACATATCACGATGCTCTTACCGAAAGTTTAACTAAACTGTCTTGCAACGTTGGCGATCTATATCCATTCGAGTTATTAGTAGTTCAGTGGCACAAGTACTCAAAATTTGGACTTTTTATGGCCCTGATTATGATAAAATTTATGTTGAGTGAGAAAGACGAAGTACCCGATATCAGCCAAATGGCTAAATCTGGAATGTCGTTCGTGGACAGACTAAATTTTGTATCCATTCACGATGATGCTTACAACAAAAGGATTTCAGAAATAATAACTGTTCTTGCACGAAGTTCTCTGATTTAAATTTATAATTACAAAGATGTTCTGCTCAATTTCTACGTGACTGATTATTTAGTTTCGATGTTAGCTATATTCAATTACCGTCTAGTTTTTTTAATACAAAATGTGACCTTTTAATCTGTAATTAAGCAAAGGAAAACTTAATAAAATATGTAGGTTAATAGTTACTACATTTTTTCAGCGATAGTAAAATTAATAGTGATTTATATTATTATTTATATTAATAGTTATATGTGAATATAGCTATATTCATAAACAAATGGTCTCAAATATATATTATATTGTGTGTTTCAAAAAAGTGACATTTAGTTTAATAATATCCATAAATTTTAAAATTATTTTTACTTTGTGTTGTTCATTATATGTATATGTATTGAAGACGGTAGTCTCTTTAAAAAAAATCATTAATGTCATACTAATCTGTTACTTTGTAGTAGTCGCTATATTTTGAGATAGACTAAATTAAATTAAATCTACTACTACGGCTACCAAAAACAAATCAATTCTATGTATAATATAAATTACAAGTAAGATTTATTAACGTCAGTAGAGATTAAATATAAAATTTAGTTAATTTAAATTTTCGCATTAAATAATAGAATAGTAGGACATTAAACGTTGAAGCCACGACGGATGTTGCAGGTTAACAGCCTTCTATAAACGTAGAGGTCTTTTAAATCTCATAAGCCGCGAAATGCGCGAAAGGCGTGGCGTATCCCCATAATTCTTCTAATAAGCACGTTGTGAAAACATTGACTCAGAACTAGACCATGTGCATCATTACATGTAGACATGAACTAAGGCGCCGGGCATCAATAAAGTCAACTGGCGAACGTTCGTTATATAGAGCGTGGTAAAAAAGTTCTGCATAAAATTCATATTTTCATTAAACAATTTTTTTTCGAAAAACGGTGAAACCCGTCGATTTTTATTTGATCCAGGGCACCTTGTTATGTGGAAAATTATTTTTTTTTCGATAATCCACTTACGGCAGCGATGACATATTTTTTTTATTGACAACGCATTTTTTTTTCGTTCGAAATTGACGACAGTGATAATTATCTAAATAACGGTGTGAAAATTTCGATGTCTTACATAACAATTTTTTTTTAGAAAAATGCACCTTAAATTCTTATAAGTGATAATTGTCTACTTACACTATTAATGGCTCCGAAAAGGACAAAGTTGACAAAATTACATTTCAAACGAGTAAAATTACACTAATGTTTGTGTAAGTCTAGCGAAATTGTTCGAATTGCCCACCCTGTACCATTTGGCATTGTCCTAAGCGTGTGTAAACGCCGTCTACACTTCGTTCAAGCATTCCCGGGTCGATTTGATTTATTTCAAAACGAATACGGTTTTTAAGTTCTTCCAAATCACCTGGTCTGTTTGTGTACACACG